TCCACCCTTTTACTCACTTACACCTTCTTCAGGAAAGGCATAGGACTGCTCTAATTGAAACTGGGAAGAATAAACTAAGGATGTTCAAATAAACTCACTTTCATTTTAGGAATGAGCAGAACACAGAAAGTACAAGTTCCCCCCAGCTCCATCAGGGTGTGGGGGGCCTGCCCAGCTCAGCACTGCCTAAGATCAGGCAATTCCATCTAAAATTTGGGGCTACTACCAGTGGGGCCACTTGCCTACAGATGTTATATCCTTCAACTTGTGTTCCTACAGGTTATAAAGGGGACATTTTGGCCAAACTTTTTTTTTTCTTTATTTTTGTTTGTTTGTTTGTTTTTGTTTTGAAATGGAATCTTGCCCAAGTTGGCCCCAGACTCTTGGGCCCAGGTGACATTCCTGCCTCAGTCTCCCCGAGTAACTGGAACTACAGGCACATGCTATCATGTGCTATCAAACTGTTTCTCAATTTGTTTAGAACCGAGGCATAGAATCTGGCTACTAGTTGGATCTTCTCAAGAATATATCTGCAAACCAGAAAAAAAAACCCACTGAGAAGATTTGCTTGGGGCTAGAATTTGTAGGTGTGCACAGTTGTCTGGACTAAAGTGGTCTGTAGAGGCTTGTATGAGATCATATGGGGTTGACCTTTAACCACGTAGCCAGAGCAGAAGGCTTTATGCCAACCATGTGTTATTTGACCTTGGCAGGGGACTTCGGCTTTGTTCACAGGTGAGTGCTGCTTCTACAGAGGCAGCACAGTTTGAAGCAGGGCAGCTTCAAGGAAACTGGGCTTGGATCACTTTGCCCTGGGCAAAGGGAAGAAATATTAAGGGTGACCTTAACACAGAAGGGGAAATCTCAGGATAAAGACCGCTAGAGCAACAATATAGAACCACAGCCGTTATTGCTGATGAGGTAGAAGCAGGGTTAGGTCATTTTAGGTGCCAATGGACAGAATATTAGATTTGCTGCTTCAATGTTGTCATTTAGACATACTGCCAACCTCTGGATATACTATGTTGAACCATGTGACCAAACATAATTTGGAATGGAAAATAGGAATGAAAGTGAATTTTCAACACTGGGGCTACAGGTGCCTTGAAGTAGATTAAGATCCTGTTCTGATCCATCTCAGAGCCTTCTGGGGGCAATCTCTAAGCCAGTGGTTTGTAACCCTTGCTGCTTATCAAAATTGGGCTTGGGTATTTAGGAACTGTGACCTCCCCAATCTTAGACAAAATAGTATGTTTATTTATTATTTATTAGCCCTTCCCTGGGCAAATAACATCTGGAATTAAATTCAAAGTTTCAATGTAAAACAGCAGATTAGATCATATCTAGTACAAAAGCTTTAGAGTATTCAGAGGCCTGGCATATTGTAATCTGTAATATTGATGATCATAATAGCTACCACTTATTTATTTAGTGCAAATATTGCACATTGGTTATCATGGAATTTAAATAAAATCTCATAACGTCATGAAGAAGAAATCTATCACGATAAACCTATTTTGGAGATGAGGAAACAGAGATTTGGTGCGATTCAGTATTGTGCAAAAAGTCTGCCAGCTAGTATATGCAGAACTAACGGCGTGTAGATTTTTCACTGTCTTCATTACGTTGTTACTTGTGTGTGTTTGGACTCAAAAGGGGAAAGAAGGTGCTTAGTGTTTAACCAAGACTTACTACCTTCATGAAATTGAAGGCTTCTTATTCATTCAAAGAGAAGACCTTGAGCATTAACAGGGGAGAACTGCTGTAGAGAATGCAGATGGAACCCTTACCACACACATGCTCTCGGACTCTGTAATAATTCTCTCAGTTTTCAAGCATGGTAGTCTTTGCAGATTGAAGCAAAGCCTGCAAGCTTGTATCTCTGTGAGATCCTCGAAACCAGGGGGCCCCAATAGGTTTGGTAAAACAACAACAACAACAAGTGAAAGTAGTTTTGTAAAGTGTCATACAGTTAAAATAAAGGACTGAATTATTTTTTAAAAATTGGGGGCCTGGGTTTGTGGCTTAGTGGTAGAGTGCTCTCCTAGCATGCATGAGGCACTGGGTTCAATCCCTGGCACCACATAAAAATAAAATAAACATAATGTGTCCATATACAACTAAATTTTTTTTAATTGGGGAAAATATATTTTCATGACCCCAAACAAGTAAGTATTAACTGTTCATTCAGGATTGGCATTGATATGTAGTCTCGCGGGGCCCTAGCACTGTGTTCCTATCCCTGGTTGGCTCTAACAGGGAAGCTCTTAAAATGAAGATTCCTAGGCTCTTTCAGGGATTATTACTTGATGGGCCTGGGGTGGGGCTCTAGTATTGGCACAGTCCTAGATCTTAGATTCTGCTAAAAGATGCATTTGATTCTTAAACTATACAGCCTTTTATCAGTAATGGGGAGAACATTAGGTTCTGTCTGCCTAAACTCTTTTTGTTTTGATCTATTTTGTTTTGAGATGGGGTTTTGCTATGTTGCCCAGGCTGGCCTTGAATCCCTGAGCTCAAGTGATCCTCCTGCCTCAGCCTCCCAAGTAGCTAGTTCAACAGGTACATCCCACTGCGCCCAGATCTCCTGTCTGCATACTCTTATCAATTAGGGATTCTTGGGTATAAATGGATCCTCCACCAAGAGACCTAACACTGAGCGCGCTTGTCCAATGAATGAACTGTTGGCAGTTTACTTCAGAGGTCTCATCTTTTCACATGCAAAGGGAACAACCCCTAATTAGTTAGCCCAGGATATGATTCATCTGAATGAGAAATCTTTCCAAATGAATTGCCACACCTGTGACTATTCACTCTCGGAAAAGAGAGAGTAAAAAGAGTGAAGGTTTCCTGAGAGGTCGGGAGGGGCCAGTGTAGGCAGGAATGGAGCAGTGGAGGAGCAGGTACAGACACAAGCCTGTTTACCTGGCCTGGTAGGGTTCTCTGCACAGGCAGGACCAGAAGAGGCCTAAGGGTAGCTCTACTTCTGACAATAAAGACTCCTACTGCAATAAAAGACAGGAACAAACCCTGGGCAGTGTACCATGGAGTTGGAAACATGAGGTCGAACCCCTGCTCTGTCAGGAAATAGCCAGTGACCTAGGCAAGGTACTTCATCTCACTAAGCCTCGGGCTGGTCAGCCCATTTGAGAAAGTTGGATCAGATGTTTTCCAAATGTTTTGAAGTATTTGAAGGTGTATGACCAGCTGGGATTGTGGGTGGTAGTGCTTGCCTAGCATGTGTGAGGTACTGGGTTTGATCCTCAGCACCGCATAAAAATAAAGGTATTGTATCCATCTACAGTTAAAATTTTTTTAAATGACTATATAAAGATAACATCAACAAAATTAGAGGATAGTGAAGATCAAAAGATTGGAAACAATCTTGTCCATCAAAGGGAGAAAGGTTACATAAATGATGGTGTAACTATCCATTGGGATATCATGCAGCAATAAAAAGAGAGAGAAATTCTGTAATATGTTGATATAAAACAAATCTTCAGTTTATAGGTAAATAAAATAGTAAGGTTTGGACTAGTGTGTATAATGTAAGAAAAAAAAGAAAAAGAAATATATGTATTTACTTATATAAGCTTAGACACCTTTGGAACAAGAATTTGTAATATCAATTGCTATCATTGGGGGAAAGTGGGTGCTACAGAGCAGAAGTGGGAAGGAGACTTCTTATCGGATATTCTTTTGGGCCTTTTGAATTTCAAACCATGTGGCTGTATTACTTTAGCCATATAGTTGTATTATCTATTAAGTCAATAGTAGAAAAATCAAATGATAGACTGGCAGAATTCTGAGAGCTTTTTTTATTATTTATTTTTTAGTTTTAGGTGGACACAATATCTTTATTTTATTTTTATGTAGTGCTGAGGATGGAACCCAGTGCCTCATGCATGCTAGGTGAGTGCTCTACCACTGAGCCACAATCCCAGTCCCTGAGGGTTTTTTGTTTACATTTGTTGTTGTTGTTGTTGTTGTTTTGGTGGTGCTAAAGATGGAACCCAGGGTCTCACATATATTGTGCTCTACCCTCAGCTACATCTCTGGTTCTTTGTTTGTTTGTTTGTTTGTTTGTTTATTTAAATCTTAGGACAGGCTAAGTTGACCAGACTGTGGCTCAGTGGTAGTGCTTGCCTAGCATGTGTGAGGTACTGGGTTTGATCCTCAGCACTGCATAAAAACAAAGGTATTGTGTCCATCTACAACTAAAAATATTTTTAAAATGTTATAAAGATAGCATCAACAAAATTAGAGGATAGTGAAGATCAAAAGATTGGAAACAATCTTGTCCATCAAAGGGAGAGTGGTTACATAATGAAGGTGTAGCCCCTGTAAAGTTGCAGCCCCTGGGGCCTTGAACTTGGGATCCTCCTGCCCCAGCCGCCCAGGTAGTTGGGATTATAGATGTGTACCATCACACCAAGCTTGAATTACTCTGGTAAAAGCATTTGACCATTATGCCTGGTTTGAGAGTTACTTGTCTGTACATCTTGTAGGAAATCACCGTCAGGGTTGTCTAATCCCCTTGGCATCTGACATAGCCACAGCCCTACCCAAGCACAGGCACAGGTATCCTCACATGTGCCAGGGCCATGGAAATGGTTCTCTCTCTCTCTCTCTCTCTCTCTCTCTCTCTCTCTCTCTCTCTCTCTCCTTCCATTCTTCTCCAGGCAAAGACTGATTTTCCCTACAGATTTTATCAGTCAATAACCCAGGGCCTATCTCCAAACACTGTGACAGAGGCCAGTGATTCCAAGTGGATCTCTGAAAGGACTTCCTGGGTGACAGTGCCCTTTGAGCCTTTTCAACACTGCAACTGGCTCAGCTTTCTGAGCCAGAGGCAGCCCAATGTAAACAGGGCATATAGTGGGAGGGGGACAGGACTGGGGAAACACAGGTCGCAGGAGAGCGGGGTGGAATCAGATGGGGAAGTGTTCCAGAAATCAGAGTGAGAGACACCTGTGGAAAAAAACAGGAGTGAGGCTCACCTCCCGCAGCTTCTCCTGGGCCTCAGCAAGGGCGGCTTGCTTCTCCTGAAGCTGGGCTAGGGCAGCATTCATTCGGATCCTCTTGGGCTCCACCACCCGATACAGCCGTCCATAAAGCTGCAGGGAGAGAATCAGGCTGAGGGTCACCCACCAACCCACTCACACACAGGGGAGCCTCCCTCTGTCTGGGTCTGCTGCCCCCCCCCAGCTTTCTCCAGGGCCTGCCTCCAGCCACCTCAACCACAGCTCACCTCCATGGCCCGCACCCACATGCAAAGGGACTTGGCGGCCAGGGCGACACGGCCAATGATGTCAGGCTGGAAGTCAGGCTGGGCACAGTAGGCCCCGATCTTCTTCAGCACTTTATCTGAGATATTGTCTTTATCAAAGTTGATCAGGGACTTGATGAAGTTCTGTTCCCCTGTGGGGTGACAGATGTAAGGGCCTCAGCAAGAGGCTTAACCTCATCCTCAGTGTCACGCTTTACTGCCACTACTTAGGCATAGCCAGGCTTCTCCTGGGCTCAGTTCCCAAGGCCAAGATATCTGACCTCCTCCCTAGTTCACTTCTCTGGCCTTGCTCCCTTCTTTAGTAACCTCGCAGCCCCTAGGGCCACCACAGTCTCCCCAGCCTTATCTCCTATCACTTACCTTTAAAACACTGAGGCCTACACACCCTTCTTTCTATGTGGTTTGCATTTTCTTCCAGGGCAGAAAAAAAAAAAACACTGAATGAAAAGAGTCTATTTCTCCTTCCCTGATTCTTGTCCCCTTGGGGTGGAGGAGGGGATGCCAAAGATATTCCTGTTCTTGGATTCTGCAATACATTCCTATATTTTTTATGACAATCTTTTTGTTGTTGTTTGTTTATAGTAAGATAGCTGTTTCTTTTACTTATAACCAAAGAATCCTAACTGATATTTACATCTTCTCTTTCCTCTTTCGCTCTATGCCCTTGAGGGTGAGTATGATGCCTCATCTATTGCTCTTTCTGATGCACAGCAGTGGATAAATGAACACTGGGTGAACAGAAGCCAATTGCCTTCTGGTTCTCTTGCTTACCTAGCTGCCGCTTGGCCTCTGCCCATGTGGGCTCATTGCCCCGAAGAATCATGACTGCCTGCATCACTATCTCCACTTGGGCAGGGGGCCGTCCGTAAGACTTGATCTCGCCTATATCCTTCTTGTTCAGAGATTCCAGGGCCTGGGAAAAGGGGTTCACTCAGGGAGCTGGGCCAGAGTCAACTCAGGCAGTAAGATACAGGGCCTAACTGAGGAACCACTTCTTCCTACTTTCCCAGGGACTTTGAGACAAAGGCCAGCCTCTATCCCACTCCCAGCACATATCCTGGCACCAGCCCCTGGTACCCGCATGGCCTCTTCCAGAGCAGGCAATGCCTCCTCTAGATCCTTCTGGGCATTGTCAGCCAGCTGCTGACACTTGACTTCCTCAATAGCAATCTTCTCACTGTTGGCTGTTACAGCCTAAGGATAAAAAGAGAACCAGGGGGTCTTGTGTTTGCTTTGGGGAAAGGTAGGGGTGACGGGGTAGGAAGGGTGAAAGAGAAAACTAAACAAAATTTCCAAAGTGGAAGGAGTATTCTCTAGTGCAGCCACTGATGGGGACTCCAAAGCCTCTTCCCAGAGGACCCTGGAGGAATGGGGCACAAGGGGCAGGGCTGGGACCTTCTGCTGTTCATCTGCTTCCCGTTTCTGTTGCACAATAATGACCAGGTACTCCTCACACTGCTTCTGGAACTCAGCCACCTTTCTCTTGGCCTCTTCCAGCTCCAAGGACAACACTTCCACCTTTTCCCTAGTTTCATCAATCTTAGACAATCCCGTCCGCAGCTTATTGATTTGGTCCAGTAGCTCCTGCCTTTTTTCTCCCAGCAGCCTGGGGGTGAGAGCGGGATAAGATGTGTGGAAAAGCTGGGGTCCCAGGAAGGGGGTGCTTACATCATCTTCCTTTCCTGTGTGTCTTGGACCCTGTTATTTTTCTGTTGCTACCATCAACCCCACCACCCGGTTTCTTATCCTTTCCTGCCTGGATGGTTGCCAACAGCTTCCCAACCAGTCTGTCTCCTTGTCCTTTGAGTTATTCTATATACCACTTTCAAAATTATCATGTTAAAGATGATTTCCATCACACTACTTTCTCTCTTTGAGAATCTCCCCCGTTCCCCAGTATGTAGTAGGCAGGTGAGCTGCAGTGAACCCGAAAACATGAATCCCCCAAAGGGAGCAGTCATTCCTCACTCCAACCTGTCCCCGCCCCCCGCACTGGAAATGAATGGGAGCTTAGGATTGCCACCATTTCTGATGTTTAAAGAGAAGCTAGAAATCTGGATTTTTCAAAGTGTCTCAAGTTTTCGACATTCTTCAGGGCAAAAAAATAACTTCATGGGTATTCTCTTGACTAGGTGAAAATGTAGCCCAAGGGCTTATCACAATGAATGACAAATAGAAAACAGAAGGTAGAATGTAAGCCTAGGTCCCCAGAGATGGCAGAATCTCTGGCATCTTACAAGTATCTAAAATAGTGCCTAACATATAGTAGGTGCTCAAAAATACACAGTAAATGAGTGAATGAATTGACTATCATTATCACATTATTACAAATAACTTTTTTTCTAGACAGGCATGGTGGTGCACACCTATAATCCCTGCCATGTGGGAGGCTGTGGGGTATGGCTCAGTGGTAAAGTACCCTTGGATTAAATCCCAGTACCATAAAAAAAGGCTTTTTTTCACCTTAATTAAAATATTGAATCCAATAAATGGGTGGTTTTTCTTTTACATTTATCATATTCTTCAAAGCAAATTATTGTGCTTTGTATATGAAAAGACACTCAGCAACTTAATAAATAAAAAACTGTTGGGAACTTTGGTATGATATTGTGCTTTAAAATAAGATATATATTTATATAGTCCATATGGCATACAGCTTCTAAAACCCTTGGACTCTTCAATGTAATGTGTCTTTTGTATGCTAGTGAGATTAACTGGGGGCTTGTGGATAGCCTCAGGTTAGGGGCTGGCTGCCAGGGAATCAATCCTGTGATTAGAAGATTGGAACTTCCAGCCTCACCCCCTGGCCTCCAAGTGGAGAGGGGCTGAAGGTTGAGATGATCACCAGTGGCAAATGAGTTAATCAGTCCTGGCTATGAATTGAAGCCTCCATAAAACCCAAGAGGGAGGGCTCAGAGAGCTATCAGGCTGGTGAACATCCGTGTACTGGGAAAGTGACGTGCCCTGGCTCCATGTGGACAGATGCTCCTGTGTTCCAGTTCCTTCGGAACCTCACCCTATGTTCACACATATCCTTTAAAATATACTTTGTATTATGTATAATTATAATGCACCAATAAAAATATCCTACGTAGCAAATTCCTGAGTTCTCTGAGCCATGCTAGGAGGTCAGGGAAGCCATGATTTAGAGTCAGCTGGTAAGAAGCTGAGGTGAAAACAATCTGAGGCTTGGGACTGGCATATGAAGTAAGGAACAGTTTTGTGGAACTGAGATCTTAACCTGTGGGATCTGATTCTAATTGAAGGTAGACAGCATCAAGACTGAGCTGGATTGTAAGACCTCCCCCCCCCCCCGCAGCCTGTGTCCACTGGAAAACTGCTAGGTATGTGGGGGAAACCCAATGCAATTTACAGTTGTAAAGTACTGTGTTGAGTGTAAGAGGGAACATAGTTTGTTTTTGCTGCCTGCCCCATGCAGGCAGCAAGTCTAGAAGACATCAAAGGCAGAGGTGAAAAGACTAGGTATATGGTAGCAATATTCCAATCATATTATGTTCAGAAAAAGAGAAACATTGTCCAGAAAATAAGGGCAGAGAGGATGTAGAGAGGGTTCAGAGCCTGGGGAACACAACCAGGGCACTCTAGCAGCAGCCCTCCCATTTAAGCCCCACCTCTCTCTCATATTAACTTCTGGGGCAGAACTAAGACCCTTTGCATCTGATCATCCTATCTTGGCCCCCAGGTCCCCAAGCTGGTCCCCTTGGCCAGTTCCTGAATATTTCCTATGACATCATTTTGCCAGTTTCCCTCATAAGGCTCCTGGCCCTCCACCACCTGCTCTTCTTCATACTTCTTGTATCCAGACACCAGTTCCAGGTAGTTGGTGGGTGTGACATAGTTGTATCTCCGCAGTTCCAACAGCATCTTCTGAGAATACCTAGCCACTGACCAGTGCATAGTGACAAAGATCCAGGCCACCTTCCTGTGGATCTGAGGCCAAGAACAGAGAATGAAAGACAAAAGAGATGGAGGTGAAGTGGGAGGCAGGTCAGGGGTGTAATGAGAGAGAGGAGGAGGAAAGACTCACATTTTCCTGTGTCCCCAGGTCCACTCCCACGAGGTACTTCTCAGCCACCTCTAGCAAGGCCTCTTGGGGCCACTCTGAGAACCAGTTGATGGTTGTACCATTCACCAAGGCTGGGTACTGGCGGATCCAGTTCCTGAGGAAGGAAGGGTTTTTAGAGACAATCAAGCCTATTTGCAATGTAGCCTCCAGCTCCTGGGTTTAAAGCTGAACAATATCCCCTTGCTTTCCAGGAACTTAAACACCTATCCTCTTGCAAATTTGGTCCCCTCAGAGCTAGTCCAGCATGGCATTTAGAAACAGGCTCTGAGTCAGGTGCTGTAATGCACACCTGTAATCCCAGTGACTCGGGAGGCTGAGACAGGAGAATTGCCAAGTTCAAGGCCAGCCTCAGCATCTTAGCCAGACCCTAAGCAACTTAGTGAGACCTTGTCTCAAAAGAAAGAAAGAAAGAGCCAGGCACAGTGGTGCACGCCTGTAGTTCCAGCAGCTTGGGAGGCTGAGGTAAGAGTATTGTGGGTTCAAAACCAGCCTCAGCAAAAATCAAGGTACTAAGCCACTCAGTGAGACACTGTCTCTAAATAAAATACAAAATAGGGCCAGGGATGTGGATTAGTGGTTTAGTGCCCCTGAGTTCAATCCCTGGTATCAAAAAAAGAAAGAAAGAGAAAGAGAAAGAGAGGGAGAGAGAGAGAGAGAGAGAGAGAGAGAGAGAGAGAGAGAGAGAAGAGGAAAGGAAGAAAGAAGGAGGAGCAAAAGGAAAAGGAGAAGAAGAAAAGAAAGAAACAGGCTCTGGGGCCAGAAAGTCTTGGATCCATTCTTGCTAGGCGTGAATCTTGAGCAAATATCTATCTAGCCTCTTTGAACATCAATTTCCTCATTGCTAAAAGAGGCATAATAATACAAACTAAGGCTGTTGGGGGATTCAACAAAGTAACACGTGTAAAATACTTAGCATAGCACTTAGCACATGATCACTTCACCATATGCCATAATATTAAAAGCACAAATGGGTATCTAGGGCTGGGGTTGTGGCTCAGTGACAGAGTGCTTGTCTAGCATGTGTGAGGCACTGGGTTCGATTCTTAGCACCACGTATCAATAAATAAAATAAAGGTCCATTGAAAACTAAAAAAAATTTTAAAAAATGGGTATCTATAATCACTGTGACCCAGGAGGCTGAGGCAGGAGGATTGCAAGTTCAAAGTCAGTTTAAGCAACTTAGTGAGACCCTGTCTCAAAATAAAAACTAAAAAGGGCTGGGGATGTGGCTCAGTAGTAGAGTACCTCTGGGTTCAATCCCACTACCAATACATACTGCTACAAAAGAAAAACAAAAAACAGTAACCCAAATTGTCTTTACATACTTGTGCCTTTTTTTCTCTCCCTTCTATCTCCCTCCCTTTCTTTCTTCTTTTTTTCTTTCTAACACTGAGGATTGAACCCAGGGGTGTTTTACTACTGAGCTACATCCCCACACCTTTTATTTTTAATTTGAGACAAGGTCTCAGTAAGTTGATGAGACTAGCCTGGAATTTGTCATCCTCCTGCTTCAGCTTCCAGAGTCACTGGAATTATAGGTGTGCCCCCATCATGCCTGGCAGTGTGTGTGTGTGTGTGTGTGTGTGTGTGTGTGTGTAAGCACGCACACACATACATTTAAACATTAAAAACAACTAATCAAAAAAATTTTTTAATCACCAACCAAATTAATAAAATTTATTATTAATAAATTAATAACAATTAACTATTGATTAATAATTAATAATTAGAATAATAATTTATTGTTAATAATTAATAATAATTAACAAAAGGGATGAAGAACTCCCATCTCAGCCATGGGGATTTCCTGAAAGAAGGCACAGTCTATGGAAAGGAGATGGGGTGGAGCCAAGTGGGAGAGCATACTGCTATTCATGACCTTAACTTCCAGAAGGCATGGAAGGCCAAAAGAGGGAAGGAGACCACGTGAGGAGTACTGGGGTACATAGGAGAAGAAGGTTATAAGAGGAATCACCTGAAGGGGTCCCCCACAGGGCTGAGGCAGAGCACAATGTGCAGGTTGTTCCGCACACGCTCGATGAAGTAGGCGAAGAGGCTGTCTGAGGACTCAGGCACTTGCTCAGCCCGGGCCTGATCTATGATCTGCGTCTGGATCTGGAGGAGCCACACAGTGTCAGAGGCAGCATCAGTGGGCAGCTGATTAGGCTGGACTGATCAGGGGTGGAGGTAAAGTAGCCCCTCCCAGTCATCATTCCTTGGGGAAGATGACTGAAGAGGAACCATCCTTTAATCTCCTGCCCATAAAATGGATGGTGGGGGTTGCCAAAGGCATATTCTGGATCTATAGTTCCTCGGAGATTAATTAGGAAGACCAAAAAACCCAAATGGTGTGGAAGGCATCCTACCTCCTCAAATTCATCAGGCTTGTAGAGATTAGGGACCTCGCCTGAGCTGAGGATGTTGTTTATGTCCTCTAGGAAGGATTCATCAGCAATTTGGGTGTCCACAAAAAGGAAGGACGTGGTCTTGAGCTCTATCCCAGCCTGGCGATACAGACACTTGATATCTAGCCAGATGAGGGGAGGAGAAGAGGAGAGGGACCAGACTCACTTCAGATTCCCTATTCTGCCCTTGATTCCTTTTCTGACATTCAGGAACCCTTCCCCAGCCCACACTCACACAAGCCAGGTGCTTTTCTCTCTCCCCTCTTGTCATTGCAGGCACTGAAGCATCTCATTTATCATTCCAAGCCCCAACCCCCCTTTGTTTCAGAAACCAAACTGTTCAGTACCATCTCGGAACTCTTGCTTCCGATAATGTTTGGTGACCTCAATCTGGAAGGTGTCATAATCACACATGGATGAGGCCAAGCGGGCTAGACTCTGGCGTCCACTGCCTCCAATGCCCACCAAGAGCATGTTGCCCCGAGGCTGTCCAATCACCCGCACGATCCGTGTGACTGGGGACCAAAGTGAAGGTAATAAATTGGCTGAAAAACTCAAAAGAGGACCTCCAAGCCCCTGGCTAGGGATAAAAAAGCCATAAAACTGAAGTGGATGAGCCAAGAGGTGTGAGAACACCGGATAGCAATTGAAACTTTTAACCTTCTCCCTGTGTATGAAACATCCATCCACAAAAGGCCATCTGGGGCCAGGAAGCAGGGCACCTTTTGGGACCCAGTTTGGGAGAGACCTGGGAAGGAAAATCTATTTTCTTAGAAATTCCCTTTCATTGGAACAGTGGGTGAGGGCCTGGGGGTAGCAAATGCTTACTGTGTTCAATGGCCTCTCGGAAGAGCACCAGCTGCATTGGTACAACAGTGGGGGACAGATTGTACTCATTTAATGCAGTCTCCATGGCTGCCTTCAGTACCGACAGATCTGTCAGGTCTTCATAGACCTTGGGCTCCTTCAGGAAGTCCCCTGGGCCAAGAGAAGAGGACATCAGTCTCCAGCGTCTGATCCTCCCCAGAGTTCCCCTAAGGGTTCTCAGGCATCAGGACTCCATGTCCTGTGACCCTCCCTCCAGCCCCAATCTCCTGAGACTATAGTCCTACAACAGTCCCAGCTCCCAGCTCACCAAAGATGGGAGGACGTTTGTTGGGACAGAGATTGTGAAATGTAAGGTCAAAGAAGGAGCCAAGTTTGTCACTTATGATGCCCACAAAGGCTTCCATGTCTGTTGCATCAACCAGTCGGTCAGAGAAGACTCTGTTGGGAGGCAGCTGGGATGAGATCTGAGACTAAGGAGGAGAATGGCCCTGGAGAAGGGAGAGTTGGGCAGAGGTGAAGGAAGGGGTTAGGAGCAAGGTTGAGGAAGCCTAAATCGGACACACTCCTGTCACCTGAAACACTCATGAATCCAGAGTCGTGTGATGCTGGACTTGGTATCGTGGAAGTCCTTGTTGGCTCTAAGCATGCCCTGGAATACCTGGGGAAGAGAAGTGACTGTTGGGGTGGAGGGAGGAAACAGATTCCCTGTCGGAGTTTTGGCTGCAAGGGTAGAGAACACGGCATTTTAGGAAGGGGTGGCTTTGAGTGTTCAGTTTGCTATGAAGTTCCAAGGCTTATTTTGAGAAGATATGCCTATAAGGAGATAAAAGAGGCAAGATCAGACTGATGTTTACCTTGGAGATATCTCGAAGGTTAAAGAGGTAATGAATCTTGGCAGGTGTGGGCAGGAAGCGCTGTACCACCGTATTGTACACATCCAGGGTGGCCTCTGTCACCACGATCCCAATGGGTTTCACCTCTTCCTCAAAGTCCTGAAGCTTCTGGTTGATCATGGTGCCAAATATGCGGATGATCTGGGACTCCTAGAAAGAGATCTCAGACTCACTTTCCAAGGCTTCTGGCCTATGGCCAGGATTGGAGCAGAATGAGGCAGGGCACGGCTTGCCATATGGGCAGAATTTAAGGGGGCACCAAAACAAAACAGAACAACAACAAAAAAAGTAAAAGGAAATTAGAAATTCTGAAATCAAGAGAAATGAATCTTGGGCTAAGGGTGTAGCTCAGTGGTAGAATGCTTGCCTAGCATGCACAGGGCCCTGGTTTGATCCCTAGCACCCCAAAGAAAAAAGAAAGAGAGAGAGGAAATTTAGTACAATATTTAAAAATCAAAAATTATGCAAAATCTCCATGATGAATAAATACAAATCTTCTAAATAAAGGCTGGATCAAGTATTATGGATTTCTCCTTTTGCCTTAAGCTTCACTATGGCTAAGCACCACACTGTGCTGATCTTGTATTTATATAAAATTTCAGTATCTTCATCATGATTTTTTGGTATTGATTTTAATGTTTTTACAAATATTGCTAGACATGGTAGCACACTCTTGTAATCCCAGCTTCTCAGAATGTTGAGGCAGGGGGATCACAAGTTCAAGGCCAGCCTAGGCAATGTAGTGAGACCCTGTTTCAAAATAAAAAATAAAAAAGGCTGGAGATGTAGCTCGGTGGTAGGAACCCCGGGGTCAATACTCAGTACCAAACACACACACACACACACACACACACACACACTTTGCATTAAATGTCATTTCTCTTGAGACTTACTTTTTGTTTGTTTCGGTTTTGGTGACCCTTAAATTCTGCACTGAGGCAAGTGTCTCACCCACCTCATGCCTCACCCTAATCCTGGTGCTGCTTTCAGCTCTCAACTTTGCAGGATCTACCTTCCTAAGTCTATTTGAGCCCCCAGGCTTTCTCTGCCCATTGGGGCCTCAAGGATCCATACTCCAGAGCCAGTAAGCCACACTCCATCCTATAGCTCTCCTGGTTCAGAAGACAAGGGCCCCACCTCCCTGTGTCACAGCTCCCTGAATGCAACTCTGCTCAGAGCTCCTTAGCCCTCTCCTCAATTTGCTCCCTCATTCTCTAGTACAGGGACAGTTTTGTACTGTACAGTCCCCCTCGTGGCAGCCCCCACTATCGCCTCACTGTGGGGAAGGTCATGTTGATAATGTTGAAACGACTCTGAAGCCTTGGGGAGATGACAGTCCGTCCACCGCCAGGAGGGCCCATGGCAGCCATCAGGAACATGTCCTATACAGCAAAGACAAGATTGGGCAGAGACAGGGGGAAGATAGGATGAGATGAGGCACAGAAATAGGGAGGATGCTTCAAAAGACTAGGACAGAGGATTTTAAATGTTCCCAACGCACATGATAAATGTTTGAAGTGATGGATATGCCAATTTCCCTGATCTGATCATTACACATTGAATATAAATATCGAAATGTCACACTATATCCTATAAATATGTATAATTATATGTGTCAATTAAAACTTTTTAGCTGGGCATGGTGTCACATGCCTGTAATCCCAGCGGCTCAGGAGGCTGAGGCAGGAGGATCGAAAGTTCAAAGCAAGCCTCAGCAAAGGTAAGGCGCTAAGCAACCCAGTGAGACCCTGTCTTTAAATATAATATAAAATAGGGCTGTGGATGTGGCTCAGTGATTGAGTGCCCCTGAGTTCAATCCTTGGTACTCCCCCCCAAAAAAAACTTTTTAAATTTAAATATCCAAAAAGAAAAAATAGAATAGAGAGGATAAAAAAGGAGTAGAGAAGAAGATAGGAAATTGAGGGAAGAGGGACAGGGACAGAGTAAGGAGGGAGAAGCATGAAGTAATGTGGGCAGGAAAGATCCAGAGAAAGAAGAGGTTGGGGAAATTTTCTTTTAGAATTATTAAAATAACATATTTGCCTTTATTTCATCATTAAAATCAATGTACCCAAGTTATAAAATTCAGATAAGTAAAACATTTTCATTTTGTCTTTTAGATCTTATCTTTTTTTTGTTTTTAAACTGTATATGTTTACACACATGTGGATGTGCATGTGTGGGTACTCTCAGAAACACATGAATATATTATTAGGCAGATTTTTAACCCTGAGTGCCAGGTGGATGGGCACCCCCCAAATCAGAACTGAACGGGTACTGTCCATTGATTAAAGAAAGAGAAACAAACAATATGCTCAGAATTTCATGGGAGAAAATGCAGGGTACCCCTGTGTAAAAAGGAATACAGGGTTAGAGGATTAGAGCCTGGGGTCCCAGGAGTAGAGACTGAGCCTATCACAGGAGGGAACAAAGACCTGAGCACAATTTCTCAGATACTTACTCGAATGTACTTGATGGTCTGCTTGGAGCGATCATACCAGAAGCCATAGTCAATCCAGAGACGAATCAGCTCCAGGGGTGGCTGGGACCCAAAAGTGTCCTTAGCTGGCATATTTAGCTCATCCATAAAAGTGATCAAGCTTTTGCCCCCAAATGGCACATAGACACCCTTGGTTCGCTTTTCCACCCTGCTCTCAATGATGTTCTGCACGTTGTTGGATGTGGTCTGGTGGAAAGGCATAAAATGGGTGCTTGAATCTTCCAGGAGAAATATGGGGTCAGAGAGGAGTGTCAACCAGGCAATTGGATCCCAGGGGAAGATAGAAGGCAGGGAGAGCTCAGGGAACTGGTGGCCTGGGAACCCCAACACACCTGTGCAGACATGTTGACAATGAGCACTGTCCACTGGCTCGGAGGCAAGGACTGCAGAACGCTCTGGGCTATGGAGGTCTTTCCGGTCCCCACAGGACCCACCAGCAGAACAGGATTCTGGTTGGCCACCAAGGTGCTTACCAGGTAATTGTAACGAACAGTATCAACGGTGGGCACCATGATCTTATAGAAGGGGATGCTAGCCAAAGAAATGGGAACTATGTCTCAAGGATCATTCACTTCTTTGCAGCTCCCATTCCATTATTCCCCCCAGTGTTTATCTTCCTCCAGTGTCACCATGGTCTTGGTCACTAATCCTGCCTCCTGTGAAGCCTGGAGAGAGGCATCTTCCTTAAAGACCCCGTCCCAAGTCCTCTAAATGCTGCTTCCTCTACTCAAGAGTCATCTCTCTCTGGCATACACCTCTCCTTCTATGGCTCACTGTTGCCTCTGGACCCCATCACTCTTGCAACATCTCCCACCAACTGCAGCCTAGGGTCCCTCTGCATCCCCCAGACCATGCTCTTACTTTGGAGCATAGCGCCAACTCTTAGGGAGCTTATCTTCAAATGGTGTCCAACTCCGTGTCTTGGGGTTCACAAAATACTCATACACTGTGTCCTAAGGAGGGCATGGGTGTCTGGTTACCAAAGCTTTCCTCCAGCCCTCCCCAGCCCAGAGCCATGGCTCACAGAATGTTCAGGGGCTGAGGGAAATAGAGCTGGGTCCACCGTCAGAAGATCAGGCAGAGTCTGAGGATCAGAAATGTCAGTGGGTTCGGTAAAAACGGGACAAATAGGACAGCTGGGTTTGAGGGCACTGACCTTATTGGGAAAGGAGCCTTCAACTTCCCGGAGGTAACTGTCAATCTTTTTGCGGCCCTCCTCATCCACAGAGGCACACACAGACCAGATCATACTGAACACAAATGTCATCTCTACCATAGTCGCATAGAATTCACTATCAGCTAGGTTCATCTGAGTGGAAGAAGATTAGAGGACACTCCTGTAAGAGTCGGAGGGATCATCATGGAGGCCTAGAGCCTTTCTCCATTCCTGGTTCTAGTTGGAAAACCACATATTGTCTTCCAAATGTGTGTATTAATCTACAACTACTGAAACATTTCAGATAAATCTCAAGCTCCCTGCAGCTGCCTGGAGCTTCCTCTGTGACAAGTCATAACAACACAACTGTCATTTGGCCATACCAGACCTGCACTGGAGAAGCACTCATGGGTGTTCAAGCAGACAGGCCCAGGGCTATGTGTGGTGACTTGTCTGCAATTGTAAAAATGTGGAGATACCCTAAACATTCACCAGGAAAGGAATGAAAAAATAAAACACAAGGTTCTATTGTGAAATAGTACATATCAGTTAGAGCAATTAAATAAATCTACACATAGCAATACAGAACCCAAAAACATATTGTTGGTTTACCATGCAAATTGTATAGAACATAATCCCCCCCCCTTTTTTTTGGCACCAGCGATTAAACTCAGGGGCCCTTAACCACTGAGCCACATCCTGGCCCTTTGTTTGTATTCTATTTAGAAACAGGGTCATACTGAACTGAGTTGCTTAGCACCTTACTAAGTTGCTGAGGCTTGGCTTTGAACTCGTGATCCTCCTGCCTCAGCCTCCTGAGTCACTGGAATTATAGGCATGTGCCACCACGCCCAGCAATATAATCCATTTTTTAAATACTGCATTTTCTGTAGATACAATGGATTTGTATGTAACCGATTTATTTATTTATTTATTTATTTGGGGACACTGGGGATTGAACCTGAGCTACCTCCCCAGCAATTTTCATTTTTTGTTTTGAGACAGGATCTTGCTAAATTCACTACTCTGGAACTTGCAATCTTCCTTCCTGCCTCAGCCTCTTGAGCTCCCAAGTTTACAGGCATGTGCCATTGGGCCTGGCTTGACAATAGGCTCTGAATGAAGATGTTTAAAATTACAGCTGTCCAAATACAGAATGCTGGATTTGGTTTCAGAATAATCTCCTACTCTCAAAATATGGGTGGGAAAGTATATTGAAAATCTGCAGTCTGCTGTGCTTAGCCAGAATCCTAATTCTATCCTTCCAGCTTGACCCCAATATGCAGTTGTCATCCCCCTCAGCTCCCCAGGAAGCCGCCCCTCTCCAGGCAGTTCTCCTTGACACCTGAATGCCATTAACACCATGTGATTTGTTTTTATCCCACACATTACCTTGCAAGTGCATCTACATATTTTAAATCTGTATTAACTGCACAAGGAATGACTCACACTGTTACAGATCTTAATTGTTGTTCATAATATATTTAGTTATCTGGCAATGTCCTTAAAAACAGTAAGAACCATTTCTAGGTAGCAATTTAATCTCAACAGAAAATACCAAATTTTAGTCACTATTCCATAAATTCTAAACTGGGCAAAATTTTCCTTAAATATCAATTCATCTGAAATGTTCTAGAACCCATCCCTTATCAGATTTAGCTGGGGGCTCCTTCTAGCCAAAATGGTATCCCAGGGCCCCACATGTATCAAGAATTAATATATTCATAGCTTGAAAGGGTGGAGAAATGAGAAGCTGAATGAACTATCCTCAGCTCCCAGAATATTGGTGAGAAATATCAGTGAGACCCCATTGTGTGTTATAATTTACTGTTCAAGTGTGTTGCTTGAGATGAAACCCAAAGCCTTATGCATGTTCTGCCATTGATCTGCATCCTCAGCGCTTGCTATATGCAATTTAGAATCTCTAATCTGAGCTTCCAGGTCACCATGTACACACACACACACACACACACACACACACAAACAGCCCCCCTTCCTCCACAGTCATCCCTGAGGCCTCCCCTTGGAGTCTCTGTTCCACTCAAGCCTGGTGCTCAAACTGAAGCTATCCCCATGAGATTGTGAGCCCTTTCTCCTGCCCCTGCCCTGGCCTGGGTCCACCCCTTACCCCATTCTCTGATGCGGTCAGGGCTGAGTACAGCTTGCAGAGGGAAATGATGCCACTGTACTCCGGCACAGGCACCAGCTCATTGCAATTATCCTTCTTAAAGGCCAGTATCTTGTTGATGAACTTTTCAAACATGCGTTGAAGTGGCTCTACCTCAGTCTGGAGGTGAATAAGAAGGGAATTTTATTTATTTGCTCTTATGTCTGGTAGGCTGCCCTGGTCACTTCCTCTCTCCTCAGTTCCCTTATACCTTTGGCCTCTTCTCTAGCCATGACTGAACATAGGGCTTCCAGCCCAGGTCAACATAGTCAGTGTAGACCATCCCACAGCGAGAGACAGTTGCTGGAGAGGCCACTGCCAAGTTCTCCACTTCAAACAGGAGAGACACCTAAGGGTATATATATTTTGGTCAGAACCCCATTTTCCTCTGACTCCCCATTTGTAGTAAAAAAAAAAAAAAAACCAATATCCCAGAACCCTGATGTCCCAAAATGTGTCTCTACTAAAATATGGCAAGAAGAATAAAGACCTGAGGTTCATAAGTGATTCGTTTTTGTAAAAAAAAAAAAATTAGAGGTTATTCCAGGTTATCCTTAGGAAAAATCACTCTGGCTTGCATTGTGGGAAAGGGCGGGCATGGTAGCCCATGAACTTATAGCCGAGGTGCATGACAAACACATGCCTTATAGGCTAAGGAGGGTCAAAGTCTATACACTGCTTTTGTACACAAAGTTACTTTCTGTAAAATTCTTCCCACCCTCCATGATAGGCCTTAGGCACACCAGACCAACATTCTACCACTGACCTGCACCCCGAGCCTAAGCAAAACATTTTTTTCTTTATCACAGCTTTCCCTGAATCCAGGCATCCTCCTCCCCAGCTATACCCTATGGAATTCACTCTTCTCTTAGGATTCTGGTCTCCTCCCACGCCCTCCTCATGCCCTCCACTGTCTCCTGGGCAGGGCCTAGGCAGGACCACATCCCCCTACCTGCTCAGGCATTGCAATACGCTCTCCATTAATGAGGGTCAACACTTTGTTGTCATCCATGACGGAGTTCATGCTTTCAATCCACAATGTGTCCACAGGGCCGTCGAAAAGTATCCACTTCTCATCAGGTTTCTCGTCTTAGTAGCAGGTGGATGATGAGGACTGACCCAGGAGCCTCCTCCCCTTGCTCTTCCACCTCCCTCAGGCTCCTCTGAGAGCCAAGCCCTTGTGCTTCCTTATTCTTCAACATTCCCCCTCTACTTCTCTCCCCCAGTGGAACCTCCTATCCCCACACTCCCCACTCCTTTAGGAGATCCAGGCATCTGATCTCCCTACCCCACAATCCTTTGGATACCTGCACATGCTGCCCGCATGACACTGGACAAGATGCCATCTGTCCACTCATTAGTGCTGAGGTCATATTCCCCATACAGCTCTCCTAGGGACAATGCCTTGGGGTTCAAAGGGAACTCCTGAAAGTGACACACAAAGGATTTTTGAGCTGCTGGTAGACAAAACTCTCAAGATCCCCCTTTACATCCAGCTCCCCTTCTCTCTCTCACGCTTTCCAGGCCTCCCTGGCTCCCAGCGTGGCCCTCCCTGATACCTGAGCTTTCTCACCCCCAAGGTGAACTGTCCCAAATGCATACTCTAACAATGTTGAAGTTGGGTTCTCCAGCACGGCACAGGGAGGACAAGGAAGCCTGCAGGATTCGCCAGGAGGTAGTCTTGCCGCTGCCCGTGCCACCCACAATCATGGTGGAGTGGCGGGAGTTCTTGGTTTCATACAACTGGAAAACCTTAGTGAGGGTGAATGGCGTGATCTGCAGGCCCATATCCCGAATCTCCTGTTCAATAGCCTCTTGCAGCTGCGGGAAGGGAAAATACAGGAAGTGGAATAATAAAGGACAGAGCCTCCAACGGACTTTCAAATTCCCTCAATTCCTGGGAGGATATGTTCAAACTATTAAAAGTGGCACTAGAGTTCTTTGCACTCTGACCATGTTCATTCACTGAAAAGCCGGCCAGTCTCAGAGTAAAGACACTGGGCTCTGGAGTCAGCCAGCCTGGTTCCTCAGCTTTCAGTTATGTGATCCCGAGTGACTTACTTCTCTGAACTTCAGTTTCCGCGCATGCACAATGTCTGACACATAGCTCTACACATTTTTTCTATTATAATTCAACACATATTTAGTAAGTCTCTACAGTATGTGCTGAGCACTGTGCTGGGTGCTAGGGATATGGCCGGAAACAAAATAGAGTTTAACTTACAGCAGAGCTCACAGCATGGTGGGAAACCTTAATCAGCTTTTGTTTGTTAGTTTTCCGGTGCTGAGGAATAAACCAAAGGCCTTGTGCATGCTGGGAAAGCACTCTACCATGGAGCTACATCCCGGCCCTGATTTATTTTAAAAACCTAAGTTAAGAAGTAATGCTTATAGAACTGTGACCCATATGGATCAGTCCCAGAATAGCATAACACTGTTAAACACAGTTCATGCAACCAACTGATTTCAAATAGGTGCATGATCTTTACTTAGATTTCTTTGTGTGTGTGTGTGTGCTGGATTTGAACCTAGGGGTGCTTTACCACTGAGCCACATCCCCAGCCCTTTAAAAACTTTTTACTTTTATTTTGAGACAGGATCTTGCTAAGTTGCTTAGAGCCTTACTATGTTGCTGATACTTGCCTCAGACTTGCGATCCTCCTACCTCAGCCTCCCAAGTTGCTGGGATTATCGGTATATGCCACTGCACCCAGCTTTATTTATAAATCTTAAAGATCACTAACAGGTCTCACTAACAGTACTTCCTTCAACTATCTGAGAATTAGTTTTATTGGTATATTTATATGTGTGTGTGTTTAGTGCTATACTGAAAGTGTAATGATATATTTTCTATTTATTCACTTATTCTCTAATTCCTTCTTTGACCCAGGAGTTATTTTGGATTGTATTACCTAATTTCCAAATATTTGGGCCTTTTCTATTCTATTACTGATTTCTAATTTAATTTATATACAGATCATCCTCTGTATATTTTCAAACATTTGAAATTTATGAGACTTATGCTTTAATAAACCAGCATATGGTAATTATGGCCAACTTTTCATGTATACTTGAGAAGAATGTGTATCTGCAATTGTTAGATACAATGTTCTATGTGTTTCAGGTCAAAATCTGTTAAAAAGCATTCAAATTTATATCTTTGTGGAATTTTTTATCAATTTATCAATTCTGTTTTATCAATTTCTAAAATGAATATGACCAGATCTTCCACAAGGGTTATGAATTTATCTATTTCTCCTTTTAGCTCTGTCAGTTTTGTTTTATGAATTGTGTAGCTATATTTAAGGGTATACAAATGTATCACTGTTATATCTTTTTGTGTATTGGTCCTTTTACCATTATGCAATGTTCCCCTTTACGTTTTGTGACAGGATTATACCTAGCGGTGCTCTACCACTAAGCTACATCTCCTGCCCTCTCCATTTTATTTTATTTTTTAAATATTTATTTTTTTAGTTGTAGTTGAAAACAATACTTTTATTTATTTATCATTATGTGGTGCTGAGGATCCAACCCAGGGCCTCGCACATGCTAGGTGAGCGCTCTACCGCTGAGCCACAACCCCAGCCCTCCATTTTACTTTGAGACAGGATCTCACTAAGTTGCCCAAGTTGGCCTTCAACTTGCCATCCTCCTACCTCAACCTCTGGATTGCTGGTATTACAGGTGCATGCCACCATACCTAGCTCCCCTTTACCTTTAATACTGCTTTTCTCATTAAAGTCTGCTTTGCCTAGTATTTAGAGTTGCTATTGTGATCAGAAAATATGGCCTGAATAAATTCCTTTAAAATATTTGAGGTTGGGCTGGGGATGTGGCTCAAGCGGTAGCCCGCTCGCCTGGCATGCGTGCGGCCCGGGTTTGATCCTCAGCACCACGTACCAACAAAGATGTTGTGTCCGCCGAGAACTAAAAAATAAATATTAAAAATTAAAAAAAAAAGACTTTCCCTCCCAAGGATAAGGGAAAAAAATCTTTAAAAAAAATTAAAAAATAAAAAAAATAAAATATTTGAGGCAGATTTATGACATTTGGCCTAATATTCTATGTATGCTTGAAAAAAAAGACTATTCTTCAATTAGTAAGTGAAATTTATATAGATATAAATTAAATCAAGATTGTTAATTGTTCAAATCTTCTATGACCTAAATTATTTTCAGTCTGTTTGACCTATGAGTTACTAAGATGTTACGAAATCCACTATGATGATAGATTTGTTTATTTCTTCTTGTAATTCTGCAACTTGTTTTGAGTCTATTTTATTAGGTGCATTCAAATTAGAATTGCCATGTCTTCCTGGTGAATTGTACCTTTTGTGATTATGTAGGGACCCTCTATTTCCAGTAATGTTTTTTGCCTTAAAGTCTCTGCTGTCTGATACCTAGCCTAGCTTTCTTTTGATTAGTATTTACATCTTTTTCTATTTTATTTTTACTTTTAACCCTTTGTCCTTAAATTTTAGGTATCCCTCTTGTAAACAGTATCAAGTATTGTTGTAACAATGTGTACCACTCAAGGTGTGATTAACTTTTCCTTTCTTATACAAATTTTTCTCCCAGTAGGGGCTAATAGTTGCTATGTTTTTCATTTGCTTGGTTTTTAATACACTTCTCTACCTCAGCTCCAAATTTGGGCCAACTGACTAAATTTCTCAAAATTATTTGTTGCCAGGTATGGTAGCAACTTGTAAACCCAGCGGCTTGGAATGCTGAGACAGGAGGATTGCGAGTTCAAAGCCAGCCTCATCAAAAAGTGAGGTGCTAAGTGAGACCCTGTCTCTAAATAAAATACAAAATAGGGCTGGGGATGTGGCTAATGGACAAGTGCCCCTGAGTTCAATTCCCAGTACCAAAA